ATGAAAATGAAATACTTATTTTAGAACTAACCAAAAATAAAATTATTTTACTATTTGGCAAAGATCAATAGTTCAACTTTTGGGTCAAATGTATTAACATTTAATGTCATAAATAAATAGTAAAAATAATAAAATAAACAAATGAAAAAAATACATAAGTGTTGCAAAAAGAAACATACAAGCACATGTATAATATTAATTAATTATCATATTAAACAAAAAGTAAATGCGACATATCGGAATTATTTTTACACAAAATATAAAGAAAATATAGAAAAATTGAACACATTTAAAATTCTATATTTACACTACTATTAAAAATATGTGTAAGATTGTGAAACTTTCATTTGAATAAAATACGCATTTTTGAATTTAGTCTCTATTTAATTGTGAGATTTAAATTGTAAATTGAACTACTACTTTTCATCTCATTCAATTCCCTCTATTTAAATCTTATATTTTTTGATAAATTAATAGAAAAAAACACCAAAAAGATAAAATATTATAAAAAAAGAATCTAACCAAGCAGGTAGACCTGTCAATGATACTTGGAATCGATCCGATTATCACATATTTAGATGAAGTGTTTATGTAACATTTCTATCATTATCATTTAGAAACGTGATGACCAACTTTACAGAACCAGTGTTCTACTATTTATATAATCATAAAGAGTCACGTCTTATGCACATAATATGACAAACTAGCTAGGACATAGGTGGTGGGACCTCCATGAGTACTATACTTGTTACCATCCTCCTTATTTCTGGGAAAGAGATCTAGAAAATAATAAATTCAACATACAAATCTGTACTATTTTTTTCTTTAAAAGAATCTCTCCAATAAATATAAAAACATAATAGCTAGAATTATGAAAATATCTATTCATAAAAAAATCATGAGAATGTCTATTTCATTAAAAAAAAATAAAAACAAAGTACTTGGGAGACCCATCATTCAATGAAGGGGTGGGGTTGAGAAAAAGTATGGTTTAGATAGAGAAAGTGGAAAAAATAAAATAGACTCTAAGGGTAGGTGGAAGGTGGTGGCACCATCCAAACCAAGTTGAGCTTCTCTAATCAAATTCACTACTGTGTTGAAATTCCACCATCACTATGGTTGGGGGTTCTGCGTATGGAGGATAATAAAAAATATACTACTGCTGTTTTGTGTAGCCGATGAAACAAAAAAATAAAAAAACTTTGGATAAGTATAAAAATTTTATGTGGAAAATGTGGCATTGTAGAGGGGAATTAGAAGCATGTAATAAAAAGAATAAAAAAGATAGACCTTAGTCTTGCTTTTGCAAGTATATTAAATAAACCATGCTATAATTTTCCTTTGTAGCAGTAGTGTCCTTCTTCCAATGTATATTGTGGTTTAAGGGTACTAAATCAAGTACCTAATTTGAAGAGCTTCTATCCGGGGCCAAGGAAATCGGATAAATAAAGTAGTGGTTGTGCTGGTGGGTGTTTAGTTAATAATAATGGCCCATGTCAACCATACATGAAACTCATACAAAGGAAGGTCTTTAGACAATAACCCCCACCCTTCAGACGCATGGCATTGTAAAATTTCAACAGGTAAAATCTTAAAAGAGGTTAAACTCTCACTTTTAAAAAAAGTCTATTCACTCACAAAAAAGTGATAACTCCACATTATTAAAATTCACACAAGTAGCAAACTAATCCCTAAAAAGTGGCCACTTCAAATGTTATAGTAGTAATTGAATTTTATTCAAACACAACTATTTCAAAAGTAACGATTAAACAAATGATATAATTTAAAAATATTCAAAATATTAAATGGATAAAAATAAAAATAAATGAAGTTCATAAAAATGACTAACAATTAAGTTTCATTCTTTTAGATGAAATAGTTTATTAATTGCAAACTAGATTTAACTTTTTTTTGGATGTTTAGCTTAATTTAGTTTTTAAAAATAAATTTATCAAATAAATAGCAAATACCAATTAAAGTGGGTTACTGCTTACAAATAAGACCTTATTTAATCTCTTAAATCATATTAAAAACAATATAAATTAATAATGATTTTCAAACAAAATAGGATAGAATAGATTGTCAATTACAAAGATTTAAGACCCATGCATGTTAATTTTTCTAATTTATTTTTTATAGTTGAATAGTAAATTTCAAATTAAATGATATTGTAGTTGCTCCTTAGTATGGGGCCATTCTCTTGATAAAACATGGTAAGTCTCTAAAAAGCCTAACCTAAATGTCTAATATAAATATTTAAAAATTGAAATAATTCAGATTAATGGTCCCGTCCTTAATACGGGGGTCTTTCCTAGTTAATAGATAAAAGTTAAAAGCTAAGCACTAGGAAAAAATTATAATTAATTGAAATAAAAGAAAGTATAATTAATTAAATGGAATTTAATCAAAATAATTACATTAAATTTAGATTTTAAAATTAATAAAATTAAAATGTTGAATAATAAAATTATTATAAGTAAGCACCCAAAAATAATGTTTGGATTGGAGTGGGACCAACTTGACCTAATTCGAAATATCAAAAGATTACTTTATTTTCATTTCTTTTAATCTCTTCTATCATCATATTGGTTATTAGATTTTTTTGTGCAGGTTTACTAATAAATTATAATATATATATACACACATACACATACACACACATTATATAGGCATGAAATCAGGCCTTTGCCCCACCATATGTACCTCTAATTAGGGGTGTACACGGTCCTGTTCGATGTGGTTTGGAGAAGATTTCAGACCAAACCAGTAAATTATGGTTAAAAAATTTCTAAACTGAACCAAACCGTTTTGGTATGGAAACCAAATCAAACCAAACTGTTTTATTACGGTTTGGTGCGTTTTGTAATACGATTTGGGGACTTTGAACCATTCTATGATTTTTTTTAGCCTTAACCTAATTAGAAAGCCCAAATAACCCCCTAAAAATTAAAACCTAAAACTTTTATTTATTATTTTATTATAAAATAAAGTATATATTTATAATTCCATGCATTCCATTTAGATATATAATATTTATATATCATATATTCATATTATATATGTATATAAAATTTTGACTTAAGATTTACAATTTGGTTCAGTTTATAAAATTCAATAAACCAAACCAAAATCACAAAACACAATTTAAAAAATTCTCACACCGAACTAAACCATTTATAAATATAAATTGAACCAAACCACGAATTCGATTTGAACCGTATAATAAACACCCCTACCTCTAATTGTCGTCGAGTAAGCTCGTTTCATGTGATATTTATCAACATGGAATGAGTGGAGCAGGTAATTGCGTCTTTCAATTCCTGCGATGACACCCTATTTAAACTAACTTTTATTTTTTATTATGCAAAATATTTTTAAAGCTTAATTAATGCATAGAATAATTTGCATTTTAAAGCAATGTTCATGGAATCTGATCCAATCATCATCCATTTATCAAAAGTTGGATGTATTCAAATCATTTTCTTTAAATTAATATATAAGAGAGATTAGAGAGTGAAATTTATAATTAATATTTATAAAATTGTTCGGATGGAGCCAAGTCAAGAGGACTAAAGGACTAAGAGGGTAAGAGGTGAGAGTGGACCACTCCCAAAGATACGGTATCTTTTGTGGGCCATAGGGAATCAATTATTGATCCAATAACGTTAAAACACAGCGACGTGATGCATAATGGAAGCTGGTGGGTCCCTCTTTATACCAAATAGGCAAATACAATATTGCTTTGAAAATATAATTTTAGCAAATGTTATAAACAAAAAAAATGATGTCACAAGACCATATCACACCGTTTGTACCGTCTTTAACAGCTGTGAATAGTTACTAAATCCGATTTCTCACCATTGATATTTTAACATTATTACAGTCACACATGAACTAAAAAAATAAATAGAATTATATGATATATTTAATGTGTTATAAATATTTATTTTTTGAAAGTAAGATTGTTAAAAAAATTCGATGAAAAGAATTTATTATCCATTTTACACATTTTTTTTTTGTCTTATATAATACACATTTAAGTCTGTTTGATTTGAAGGAAAAAGATAGGGAAAACAAGGGATATGTAGGAAAACCTATACTATACATAGCCTTAAAGGTTTCCTAAAATTTCCCGTCATTTTCCTTCAAACCAAACATAGCCTTAAAGGTGAGTAAAAATTTGATACTATAGGATGTAGATGAGGTTGGCACCCATTTTACATTGAAATAGATGGGTTGCTGCAAGATATTTTTGTGCTTGAGTTGGTTTGGAGGGGAGGGTGGGTGTTTGGATTTATTTAGAATCATTTTAAATAATAAAACTTTAGGTATTTGGATCTATTTATTAAAAAAAGTAAGGAACAACGTCACTCCACGTGATTGGTGGAACCATGGCACAACCAGACAAGTCCTTACCAAAAAAAGCAGACAACTCCTTCCAAATGGTTGTTTCCACCGAGACACTACTTCCGTTATTATACTTTTCCGGGATCATACATATTTATCCATATTAAATACTGGAAATGGATCAGAGTTGATCCGATATCATGCCCTGCTCCAACACCCGTATTCAGCAAGTTCGGATTATCAGAGGACCATATCTAAAACAATCCGACCCGAATGTGCCAATATGAGATGAGCTAAGCTGATAAGCCAATTCAAAGTTCGGACCCAGAGTGTCATCGTCCTGTCCGGGCGGTCAGTGTCCACCATTTGGGTAGGGATCTGGGCTCGGCCGGAACCGGTCCGATTCGTTCAATTTCCAATGCACCAATGCACCGTATTCTATTTGGGGGTTGGATTCATATTGTCGAGTGCTTACAAAACAATGCCGAAAACTGGGGACGAGGTCGCTTTTATGAATTGACACGTGGCCCAGGGCGATTCGTCGTGGGGCATCGCTTCCGATTCTCCGCAGTTTGGCCGTTTCGCGGATTCAAGATTCGCCACTCAAGTCGCCAGATTTATAAAGCCCAACGATGGAGAAACCAGAAAAGTAGAAAACACGACCACGAACGAGACGAGAAAGCGAGGGAGCAGAGTGAGAGCAAGAGTGCGAGAGAGGGAGAGAGAGAGAGACTGGTGATGCAGCAGAGAGAGAGAGAGAGAGACTGGTGATGCAGCAGAGAGGGAGGATTTACAACCGAAGATCTAGGAGCTTTTCGAGGTCTCGGATTGCCGTTGAGGGTTATTAGCTCATTCGCCCCTCATTTCATTTCTTTACTCTTAACTCGCAAAAACTCCTCGCTTTTGAGAATCGGAAACTCGAGCTTCAAGATATAGCCATGGCTGCTCAAGGTAAGATACTAAGATCTGATTCCTGCACTCTTTCGTGGAATTTTGATTTAATGGGGCTCGTTGGGTTATCTCATTTTTTTTTTTTTTGTTTGTTTGTTTATATTTATGTTTTGTCAACTTTTTGTAGTTGAGGAACGTGAGGTTCAGAAAAGCTACTGGATCGAGCACTCTTCGGAATTAACTATTGAAGCTATGATGCTTGATTCCAAAGCCGCTGATCTCGACAAGGAAGAGCGACCTGAAGTAAAATTTCTTTCTCTCTAAATTTCGCTTTTTTTTTTTTTATTTCAAGTTTTGTGTTTGGAGATCTGATGGTGGTTTCTATTCCATTTGTTTCTTTAGAAATGATGAGTTTCTTCGTCTTGTTAAGCATGGAAAGGAAAATGTGTAATGCTGATAGTCTTTTAGTAAAGTCTTATTGTACTTACGTATACCTTTTGAATTACAGCTTTTCTTAGATTTTCATGGGAGTAATTTCTTATGTTTATATACTATTGGATTGGAACTTGTTATACTTGTCAATTAGTTCTTAAGCTTAAATGATGGTGGTGAGTACTTATGTTAAGCTGTTGAGAAAGGAGACAGGGGCCATTTCTTGGTGCAGTAGTAACATCTTGGGCTACAAGCCTAAGAACGTGGATTCAAGTTTAGAGCTGCTACTTAGTACCAAAACTGTCAAGGGTTTGGTCCCAATCCAGTCTACTCTTCTCAAAACCATGAGTGACTGGGGCCAATATTGGGTGATGGTCTCGATGTGAAAAGGGATACATCTTTAGGCTTTAATTGGCTCTCTATTAAGTATTATCAGCATCTTAATTGAAATTAAAGAGAACCACTAATCTTTCTCTTCATTTCTCATCTATTTTTGAACATTTTATGGATACATATAATTTTTTGTCCTGATTAACAAATAATGCCGTTGGTCCACCTTTTTGGTACCTATCGGCAGTAGATCTGGCATCAAACTGTTTGATATGCATATCTATTATGCCTTTTGTGTTGTTTCATATTTTATATACATCAATATGTGCATTTGTAACTTGTGCTATGAAAATTCAAGTCATGATGTTATTAGCAGTTAATCTGTTGCTACATGTTATGAGAATCCATCATATAAAAATTTTGACATCTCATGCTTGCCTCATAGATGATATAGCACTTTCAGGCATGCAATAAATGTCATTTAAGTTGATGATGAGCCCTGAGTGAAGGATATCTTTTGAACCAAAAACTTCTTACACATTGTATAAGATGCTGAGTACCTTTGGAGAAGTGTCTGGATATGATCAATAGATGCCATTGCTTTCTATGTCCTGATAGAAAGAAAGAAAAAATCGTTGGATCTATTTAATGGTTTTACTAGTTAGATTTTCAGATTATTCTATCTGTCTGTACTTGAATATGTTATCTACTCATTTATTTGCTCTTCATTTATACTTTGCTCAAACCACTTCCCTTCTTGGTTTGATCCATAAGATCTTCCACCTTTAGCTGCATAGATGTCCAAAGATATTACTCCTGTTACTATCACTTCCTATCTTGATTCCAAATATTTATTATCTTTCTTTGTTGTTGAGCTTTTGTCTGTGACTTTATGAAATGAACTATTTTGATTGCACATAGGTGCTCTCCCTACTTCCACCTTTCAAAGGGAAAGATGTCCTGGAGCTTGGGGCAGGTATTGGTCGCTTCACCAGTGAATTTGCTAAAGAGGCTAATCAGGTGCTTGCTTTGGACTTCATTGAGAGTGTCATAAAGAAGGTAATCTTACCTAATGAAAATATAATAGAATTAAAAAATGTTATTGCTGATGCTGATTAGAACACTGAATACTTCTTTTCCATTACTTGGATCCTTGCAGAATGAAAGTGTCAATGGTCATTTTAAGAATGTCAAGTTTCTATGTGCGGATGTAACATCTCCAGACTTGAAGATTGCACCAGAATCTGTGGATCTGATATTCTCAAATTGGCTACTTATGTACCTCTCTGATAAAGAGGTGATCTGTTATTTCGTCACCTTTACCTTCACTATTTTCTTGAATTGGCCATCAATGCATGTAGAGGATTTAAAGTATCTATTTCTCAGATTAGACTGCAAATTTTGGAGTTTGGAAAAAATTAAATGTTCTTAATCTGGCATATCCTTTTTACACCTGGCATTCTCCACATGGAACCATTCTGATTCACATGGTGCTTCTTCTTGGGTATCATTTGTCCTGAGTCTGAGACCAGTTTCTTTACAATGTCTAAGGTGATGGATATATCATAAATGGAAAACTAGGATATTGCTCAATTATTTATCTAATTCTTAATAAGATACATCAATAAATTGTTTATAATATGTTTCCTAGACCATAATATCTATGCATGCACAAACACCCAAGAATACATCTTTATATAATTTGGATAAAATAAAGTCAATTAGGAGTTATGTTTATATTATCTATGATCTCTTTTCCTTTTTTTTTTCTTTTTTTTTTTCTGATCAACAATTCAGCATATTGATTGCATAAATCTTTTGCTGTAACTTTGTTACTCTGGTAACCTTTGCTCTTTTGGCATGACAGATATAACCATCCATATAAGTTGTTAAATCTTGTTTTTGCATCTCCAGAGATATTTTTCTTTATTAACTCATTATCCAATGGTTGATCTATTATTGTTTAGTTCACTGGGTTCTTATGGTTCATGTCAGCAACTTTGAATGCATTATCTGTGATAATCTTTCTATATTTTTTATGACTTTTCTTTCACTAGGTAATCTTTTTTTTTCCCCTGACTTAGTCTGTTTCTTGTCCTTGTAGCTATTTTATTCATTTATTTTCATTGGCGGCAGGTTGAGAAGCTTGCTGAAAGGATGGCCATATGGTTGAAGGTTGGGGGGTATATTTTCTTCAGAGAGTCCTGCTTTCATCAATCCGGAGATAGTAAGCGGAAAAACAACCCAACTCACTATCGTGAACCTAAGTTCTACACAAAGGTGTGCTTTATGTTAGCTAATACAATTCAAGTAGTTTATGTCATTGCTCAATTTACCTGTTAAATCCTTTTAGATAAGTTCATGCCTTACTCCCAGTTAGTTCATGGTTATGGGTGATTTTTAAAAACAGCTATTACCAAAGTTTTACCAATTCTATAAGTTTGAAATAATTTCCTACAAAGAAATTCTAGTATATAATGACTTTATGCAACTCTTGTATTCCTTTGTCCTACAGACAAGGTGGGACCCATAAAAAGACATGTAAATTCTTGTCTTGTAGTTTCTTTTCATGGATTCCACTGTCTGCAAGGCAAAAAGTCCAAGGGTGGCGGCTGTTAGCAAATCTGTTGCAGACTGGATCTTGGTATTACCAGAATTTATAAAAGTTAACGAAGAGGACCTTGGGGAAGTTTTGGGGTTCCAAAGTCGTAATCTGGATAATTTATTTTGACTTGTATTTGGGCTGGTTTTAATGCTTTAGTTTGTTTGCAGGTGCTGCCTTAACACCTGGCTAAGTTGTAGCAATTTTTTCTTTTGCAATGAAATTTTATTTTTACAATAAAAAAAGTCCAAGGGTTATCTAAACTCAATGTTTACTAGGATTCCTCTTTTCTATGTTGTAGTCAAGTTGTAGCTGAACTTGAACTAAAATAAAGATATTATTTATTTTTCTATTGTTTGCTTGTAGCCATTGTGGAGAAACCTAATGGTAAAGAGCAGTGTATTTGGTACTAAAACTTTTAGTTCCTTCTAATTTGAGTTGCATTGCAGATCTTTAAGGAATGCCACTTGGATGATGGATCTGGGAACTCCTTTGAACTCTGTCTTCTTGGATGCAAGTGTATTGGAGCTTATGTGAGAAACAAAAGGAACCAAAATCAGGTAATATATATAAGATGTTACTCACTTTGCATTTCTTGTCCTCTTTGACCTAAGGCAGATTATGGCAACCTGAAGTTACACCAAGATGGTTTCTTGTTTGGTGCAGGTTTGTTGGATATGGCAAAAGGTGAAGTCAAATGACGATAAGGGATTCCAACGGTTCTTGGATAATGTGCAGTATAAATGTAGTGGCATATTACGCTATGAACGTGTCTTTGGAGAAGGTTTTGTGAGCACAGGAGGGATAGGTATGAAAACAGAATTTTTTTACAATATTTAATAAGGAAAGACAATTGCATATCTAATAGCCTTTTTTACATCTGCATGGCCTGGTTGTTCATAGATTCTTTCTTCCTCTTGTATTTAATGGAAAGAAAGATAATTGACTGTTCTGATAGTTATGTTACATGGACACTTAAAAATAGGTGTTGCATCTCAGTTAACACGTTTGGACACCAAATTCCAACAGAACACCTGAAGGGACTCTTCTCTCTGTAATACCAAAGAACCTAAAAAAGTTGGTATAAGATTTCGGCATGAATTGTTTTTGCTATACTTGATAATTTTAATTGTTTAATATAGAAGTGTGTTGATTTATGTTTCTACATTTGTTACCAAATACTAAAGGTTCAAATACCTGCTGAATCCCTGAATACTAATTTCCGTTTTATTTTGGCTTGCCAAGTCTCATATCCATACCCAATGTTAGAATCCAATAATGGTATCTTATCCATGTATCATAGTAGCAAAACAAGTGTTTGTGGTGGAAACCACATGACTCACCTGAAAGTCCATTACCAGTGCTTTTCCTGACTATCCAGTGTTTTGAGAGAGTGCACGGGTGATATAATTCTAGCCTTTGGAATTTTAGCATGGAAGTGGCTTCTTTCAGACTGGAACCTGCATTTTCATGTTTTTTGGCTGAGTTTTTTCAGTAAACCAAGAATTATCTCTATTATTTTAGTAGAAAAAGTCAAAGCTTCACTGTAGTCTTTTCAGCAGCCTAGCTAAGAACAAAATATAACTAAGTGAAGAATAATATTCAATATTTTTTCTAATTTGAACCCTTATAAATTGTTATATTTTCCTAATTTCTTATATGAGTAATAGAAAAAAGAAGGATCTAGAATGTTGTGATCTAGATTAATTTTCTTACCTAAAAATAGATCTAGATTAATTTGTAATGCTAAAATTTTATGATGGGTTTTGTTCTATGATAATATCAATGTACACATCTCTAATTCATGCTAAAGTTTTATTTTCTAAACTACACTATTGTACTACTATTTATACCAAATAGAAAGATTTTTGGGTTCTGGTTGCCTGCTATTTATCCTCATTCTTTTATTTTATGTCCCAGTAAAATTGTTTATTAGAAGGGAGGAACAAGTAAATTTAAAGGGCTTGTAATTGGAGAAACTTGAAATTGGTTTTGCCTAGGGAAAACATATAAGCCATGGTGCTGAGTAAAACCAGAATTGACTTTTTACGTATAGGAGGTTAGTAAAGGGATGACATTTCAATATAGAAGTGTGTAATTTTTTCCCTTTTAATGTAGAAATATTTATTGTGAGGTATAACTCTTAGCCAGGCATATGATAATACTAGGTTCATGGTTACCAAGTTTCCAACATGTCAAGCAGTCACTCAGTTATTGTAAAGTTGTTGCATGACATAGACACCATTAGTAATCAAATTTATGAGAAACTTTTTCTGCTTCCAACTCAAAGCAATACTGTCATTTTTGTTCCATCAATATTGTTTTCTCTAGTTGACAAGAAGATAACTTTCTAAGGAGAAAGGAGAAATACATGGAGCATTCACACTTTCTTTTTGTGTGCTTCTTCTGTTGTGTTATATTTTGACATTCTCTAGTCAGGTTATTTCTACTTGGATGAGGCTTTCCATAATCTTGATAAAAAATTTATGTTAAGAATCTTACTCTAAGAATGTAATGTAAAGCTGCAATATCTCTAAGTATGTGCTGGCTAAATTGTTTTCAGTATGCAACATCTAGAATTCTAGCAAATAGTATTCCTTATTACCCTTAGGTAATTTTTTCTTCAATGATTTTGTACTTTTCCACAAAAGCTGTATTCACTTTGACTTCCTATTGAATATATTATTTCAATTTGACTAAATGATACTATTATGAGCCAGATACAACAAAGGAATTTGTGGCAAAGTTGGAACTTAAGCCTGGCCAGAAAGTCCTTGATGTGGGTTGTGGCATTGGGGGAGGCGACTTCTATATGGCTGAAAACTTCAACGTTGAGGTTTTTGGAATTGACCTTTCAATAAACATGATTTCTTTTGCTCTTGAGCATGCCATTGGACGGAAATGCTCAGTGGAATTTGAGGTTGCTGATTGCACCAAGAAAACATATCCTGACAACACATTTGATGTGATCTATAGTCGTGATACCATTCTTCACATACAAGTAATGCTCTTTTCTTGATTGTTCCTTCCTAGTTAATTTAATTTTGAAACTTATATTAAAATCGTTGCTGATAAAAAAAACTTACACTAAAATGGTCTCAAATGTGTTGCCCAATCATATCATTCTCTTTGGCTATATCAACTTTGTTGGAACTTTACTGTGTATTGGGGTGGATTGTAAAACTAGTTAAAGGCTTAAAGCATGCAATAATGTTTCTGTAAGAATTTCATACAGTTGGCTTGTCTGCTGGTTTGTGATTTAAGTGTATTTTGTTGCAAGGATGTTAGTAGAGTCCACCCTTCTAAGGGATGACAAGCTCATTGATGAGATATTTATGTCTAGCAATTTATCAAAAAAAAAACAAAAAAAAAGATGTTTATGTGTAGCAGTGTGATGCCATTACAATGTATCTGTTGAAAATAATTTACCATCCTCAAGTCTTCTAACATGACTTCTTGAGTTTACTGCTCCTTGGTGCAGTGGTAAAGTAGATATGTATATATGGTAAACAATTACATGTTCTATAGAACAAGGCTACAGAAGAAATACTAGATATCACATTGAGTGCTATAGCATGACATAATAGCACAATAAGGACCATGTAGATGCAGATGTTTATGCTTTTTATACCATTCAAGATCAAAGGTCATACAGAGTACCCATTTAGTTATCAGTCTTATCCCTGAAGCATTCCCTGAACTTACCATCTATAACATGATCAGAGTTCTGTCATTCTTTCCCTCCAGATACACTCCAAATTAGTCTTAAATACATTTGATGGTGCACTTTCAGGACAAACCTGCACTATTTAAAAGCTTTTTCAAGTGGTTGAAGCCAGGAGGTAAGGTTCTCATTAGTGATTACTGCAAAAGAGCTGGATCTCCATCAAAGGAATTTGCACAGTATATTGAACAAAGAGGGTATGGACTACATGATGTGGAGGCATATGGTCAGGTAAATCCACAGATAAAGTTTCTGTTCTTCTCTTTTGCCTCTTTCTTTTTCTTTTTTTTTTTTTTTTTTTTTTTCTGGTTCACACTTTTCATGTCCTGTTGGACCCCTTTTCTATTGTCTTGTTGACAGATGCTGAAAGATGCTGGTTTTAAAGAAGTCATTGCAGAAGATCGAACTAATCAGGTTAGATGAAGCTATATTTTCATTTTATATCAATTGGGAATCAGAAACTAACAAGTTTGGTGTTATTATGCTTGTCCAGTTCATAGAAGTTCTGCAGAGAGAACTGGATGCTGTTGAGAAGGCTAGGGAGGCATTCATACATGACTTTTCTGAAGTGTGTGCTTTTCCTGTGCAAAGCATTTTTTATTCTGTTCAACATCAACTTGTTATTGGTATTTACACCTTTTTTCGTAATGGAAATATTTCAGGAAGACTATGATGAAATTGTTGGTGGTTGGAAGGCAAAGCTGGTTAGGAGTTCATCAGGTGAACAGAGGTGGGGACTTTTCATTGCGAAGAAATGATTTATCTGGCCAACAGTGAACAGCCTTTTCAACTCTAGAAGATCTGGACATGTATTTGAAGTTGTTCATCCATGTTAGAAGTTTGTCATTATCAAACTTTGTGTTTACTTAGTAGTTAGTAACTGAGTATTAATATGATGTAGAATCTTAATAATCATAAAAATGTCTGGTTGAATTCTTGTTTGCATGATGCGAATCTGTAAGAAAATCATTTTAGAGAACTCATTAGTATGGTTTCATATTCAAGGCTTCTAGCATTGGATTCATAAACTTAACTAAGACTGGGTGTATCTGTAGATCAAGGTATGAGTGGTGTGGCACAAGTTTGATTCTTGTGTAAAACTCTAAACTCGTTGGACAACATCCAATTTTCGCTTGGACAGATTCTGTTGGTTATGTTGGTAAACCAAAGAGAGTATGCTAAAGAGGCCGCCAGCTTTCATAATTATGGCAAGGGGGTAGGTTAAACTGGATATGGTTTATAAATTACAACATCTCTCTCTCTCTCTCTCACACACACACACACATAGTACATCATTATACGTTGTTTTCATCACTGTCTATGGCTATGGTGCAAATAATGAACCCTAATCTTTATTGATAATCCATGGAAGTTAACATGACAATTTGTTGAACCAAGAAGCTATTAGTTGAAGGATAAGCCTTACACTGGCTTCATACATCTGATGAATCATATCCATCCGGCTGACTGGCTGTGCTGATTAAAAATAATTACAATTCCTTCACAAGTTGATTTCTCTCACATATGGGCACTTAGGTGTAAGATATTTCTTTTTTATTTTTTATTAATAACATGACCAATATTCAGTCTCTCCTTTCCTTCCTTTTGGTCTTTTCCTCTATATTTTCTTCGGAGGAAGTTAGAATCCTATACTTTATTTCCTTCTTGTTTTTCAGTGGAACTTATTTTAGTTATATAGCATGATCAGCTGCCAATAGGTCAATAAAACAATGGGGTATCAACCTGCTAGGGTGGTGAAACCAGTAACTGAGTACATCTAAGGTTAAAAGTAAAATGAGCTAATGCATTAACCCCACCCTATAGGGACTTCTTTTTATACGAGTAACTGATTAGGAAACAAATGAATGAAGATCCTGCAATCAGAGATGGTGGTGTAGTTTTGTTAGGGTGGATGTGATGAATCTAAGAGGTACAACTCGGGTACATTGCTTCGGGTTCTGGCCTTTAGGTCGGGCCCATTCAAGTTTTGACAAAAGCCCAACCGAGCCCGCCCAAGTTGCATCCCTTTCATGAATCCATTAACAGAAATTGGACAGTTTCCAGAGTCTCCTTCAATTATGATGTTTGACAATTGAAGCTTGAGTGCTAGTTATGGAGTTATAGGTCTTCACCAGTAGGTTGCAAATAGATTGGACCGAATCAAATATATGTAGATTGAATCCAATTCAGGTTGTAATCGAATATTGATTTGCATTGATAAGTTAAACCAAAAACAATGAAAATATTGTATATTATTAATGAATTGAATTCATAGTGACTTGATATTGTATATCATGAATCAAAAAGGATTTTTACAGTGACAAGTGTAGGAAAAATTTTGGGAGGGCGTTAACCTGAACAAGGATGAGCCTGGATTAGCTGCACTTGGTAGCCATGTTAGGGGCTGTGTAATCAGTCCGGATCTCTTATCCACAAAAACTCTGCCCGTGTCTACCCACCACATGATGTTGCAGCCACAAAGAACATCTCATTCTCCTACATAGTATTATGCATGGCATGGGGGTAGTGTGTTGTGGGTAGACCGTAGACATGGGTAGAATTCTTGTGGGCAGGAGATCCGGAGTCATGTAATCAATAATGATGCACCAAATCAGGTGTGCACATAAAGTCAGAGATTGAGAGGTTTACCTATGCATTTTACTAGTCCGGACCAGTGCAACGTATGGGTTTTGTCAATTGAAATTGAAGCAAAATGAGCCCTAATAACATTCCAACACAACAATAGTTTTATTAGTGCTTAATTTTTAAACATTTAAATATGATTTAAATTAATAAAACTAACTTTTAAAAATAATAAATTTATATTATTTATAAATTAACAAAACAAATATTATTAAATTTTACAATTTTTATTACTCTAACAAAATTTGTTTTATTATTTTTTAATTAGTGATTTTATAAATTTTATTTATTTTATATCAAGTTGAATTGAATTTGAAACTATAATTTTATATAAAATAATAATTCATAATTTCTTAAATTATTTATTACATTTAAATAATTTTGTTATTTTTAAATGGATAATAACTGTTAATAATTTTGTTCACACTACTTTTATTGACTTCATTCATAAAATTATTCCTTGTTTATATTTCTTATATTCTTTAACAATTTTTAAGAAATAATGTTTACTATTTTATTAACAACTAATAACTACTTTTTAATTGTTATTATTTGTAAAAGAAATTTAAGAGGACATATTATGTTACATTGATTCGTCTATGGTATCGTATACAAGACAGCCCTATACAGGTTTTAATTTTTATTAATCATGTTAACAAAATAAATTTTATTTTATGTTATTATTAGATAAATTTGTATTAATTTTATTATTTTTAAATGAAATTTTTATGAACTTTAGATAAATTTTGCATCATCATCAGCAAATAATTTTAACAATCAAGACATGTAAGCTAATAAAATGGGTCAACTAAACCCAAACATATTGTCTTCTTTGTCTGCAATTTGAAAATGGGTTATTATCAACCCCATTATGTTACACAGGTCCAATGCCTATAACAGTTCTGGTTCCATAATAATAACGGTTCTAGTTCCATGATTGTGTCCCAATTAATAATTGGGTCGATTCTAGTTTTTGGCTTTTCGAACTGGTTCAGACCCAAAATTAATTATTTTATTAAACATATAATATTTTCTTAGAAATTTTATCATATTTTATGTTTGTAATGGTAAATTTGATAAGTAATAAATAAGATAATATTATCTAAATATGTTTAATTCATTAACATATAAACAAAGAAGCAATTCTTTGTCCAGTAAACGACTTGTGAAATTCTACAATTACTAAATTTTTTGTTCATGTTTATTTCATGCTAATTAATTGCCATTTCCTATAGTATCATAGCATTATACGAAGGAATCGAGTTTGCCAATTCATGTACAAAACAAACAAAGCATCATTAATTGCATTACCAAAAAGGAACCACACAAAGACAAAGGTCAGGCCTAGCACAGCCCACGCCACGACACGAGCCCAAGTGGGCCCGTGTTGGGTTAGGCTGGGGCTGAATTTTTCTTAGAAAAAATGAAAAAAAAATTAATGAATAGGTTAAATTAAAACAAATTAACAAGATATACAATTAGGTAAATAGGAAATTGAAAAAGATTTTATAATTTTATTTTTTCTAAGTTTTGATGTATATAATTGTAATAATATAAAATTGAAAACAAGGTACTTGCAATAGAATTGAAAATAAAAGTTTCTATATATAATATGGAAATTTCAAATGATTATGGGAATAGACATTCCGATCTAGATTCCAAAAAGTTTTAATTCCGATTCTCACTATAAATCAAAGGGATAAGTAAACTGCATTCCACTATTAAATTGAAAACTTACAACAATTGGAAATTATAAATTTCTCCACCTATAACACCCATATCCACCCGTAAAAATTAGCATCAATTCCGAACTGACATCTACTCCCATCTGGAAAGTGGAGCTACAATTTCTTGAAAAGGACTGAACAGTAAAAACTCCTAAATCAAACGGATCTACCAAGAATCATGCATGGAAGCCATTCAAATCCATGCACGACACATCTTTATGTGTAGTCCTAGGCGTTATTATTCTCCCCACAGCTCGTAGCACAGCCATTATCCTGACAGGGATTGGTCCCCTTGGAACTTTGTTGAATTTGGACAAGAGTGTCAAACTCACTATCAAAATATAGACTTTGGACCCTTTTTCGATTAAAGTGTTGAAAATTTCAACTTTTTTCCTTTTTTTTTTTGTTTTTTGCCAAAAAAACCAAAGATATTATACCTTTCTGATATCGGACGATTTGCATTTGGCATATATCATTCAATGCGATAGATGTCCATCCAATTAGAAACAGAGAAGCTTTGCATGCATGTTAAGAACTTGGGGACCTCTTCACTTTTTCTTGATATTATTTTATTCCTTCTCAACGAAGTTTTTCCTAGTTGAAGCTGGGGAGGATAAGTGGAGGAGGAGTGCGACTGGTAGTTGATACTTAATAATATAATAATAGGTAATTATTTACGTTTTTTGTTGGAAACAGAGAAGCTATATGTAGGCATTCCTGATCACATGTGATTGAGATATGTGCACGTAGCTGAGTTTATTACAAGCCTGAAAATGTTGAAACGAGAATATAAATAAATGGGTTTGATGGTATTACAAGTTGTAGAACACATGACATGATCTTCTGAAGTTATGAATGGTGGTTTGGGTTTCAGAAAAGGTGCATGGACTGAAGAAGAAGATATTCTTCTAAGGAAATGCATTAAGAGGTATGGAGAAGGGGAGTGGTGTAAGGTTCCTCTTAGAGCAGGTACTGTGTTTATTTGTTCTTCGTCCATGCATGGTTTATTTGATGATCGATTTATATTTCTTTATTTCTTTCCACCTTTCATGATTGTTATTGCATCATTATCAGGGCTGAATAGATGTCGAAAGAGATGTAGGCTTAGATGGTTGAACTATCTCCGGCCGGGTATCAACAGGGGGGAGTTCACTTTAGACGAAGTTGATCTCATTATAAGGCTTCATAAGCTCTTAGGGAACAGGTAATTCCAAACCTATATTGAGAAAAAAAATAAAGAAAAACTCAATCATTTATGTCGAGAGAGTGTTTTAAATGCTTGTATATATAAAAAATTCGAAGGAGTGAACATGCCAGACTTGCCAGTGTTCCATGTGTGCATAGAGTCCGGATTACCTGCCAAACCCTCTACCAACAAGATCTCATACCACACATCTCATACATATACACGATGGGTCTCGTTCTCATGATGAGATATGTACGGTGTTAGGTCTTATTGGTAGAGGTTTGGAACGTGTTTTGTTGGCAGAGAGTATGGATCCTAACTAGTGTGGGAGGTGTAGGTTCTATGTAAACCGTGGCCCATGTGTATGGAACACTTGCATGTTCAATCGTGATAGGTTGTCCAAACGTTCCGTCTCGTCTATCCCCTAACGATAGAAAATTTTGTCCTA